ACTTCTGCCAACCAGCCAAATAAATGATTAACACCTTTCTTTACTCCTGGTACCAAATTCTGTCCTGGCTACTTTTCTCTCATTGCTGAGACAAAATACCTGACGCTCAAAATTAAGGAAGGAAAGGTTAATTTAGCCCACAGTCTGTGGAGGTTTCAGTCTGTAATCAGCTGGCTCCACGGCAGGGTGGCATGGTGAGGGGCAGCAATCAAGGTGGTGGAAGACAGCAAAAGCAACAAGAGCAAAAGAGGCAAAGAGCGAGTTTCTTTTCCTCCCTTATACTGTCAGTAGGATCATCCCACCCTTCAGGGCCGGTGCAGCACTCACACCATCTCCATGCCCTCCTGTCACACAGGCTCAGGATGTTTACAAAGTCCCTGGCTTCTGGCTGAGTTGCTTAGTTAAACTTCTAAACTTCTCAAGTTGACACAATGTATCAACCACTACAGGTAGCTTTGAGCAAGACAAGAGGAAGGATATAGTATTCAAATGTCAGCTTTGGCAATTCTAAAACCTCACGGCAGTCTTGAGAGCAGGTTTGCAACCTCTCACATTTCTCTATGCTGACCATGCCAGATACTGACAGCTGTCACAAAACCTGCTTTCTTAGCCTGGCAGGGTGGTGCAAACCTGTAATTCCAGCACTCGGGAGGCTGAGGCAGGAAGAGCACTGTGAATTCTAGCCCAGTGTGGGTTATATAGTGAGTTCAAGGCCAGCTTCAACTACATAGTGAGCCCTGTCTCAAAAAACAAACAAACAAGAATAACATAACAAAAAACCAAAAAATATCTACTTTCTTTTTTTTCCTGAGGATGTTTCCCAAGATCCTTTGTGGCTGTGAGTGGCCAGTGAGGAGAATGAAAAGTAGTAGTGTGTGCTACTCTCAGCTATGACCTTTAAATACTTTAACCCTCCTCCACACCTTGCATGTGCTCTCTAGGTGACAGGACAGACCCAGAGAAATCTTGGAAGGGACGTATTTAGGTCGGCGTTTGTGCCGCTGAGCTTTATCCTCAGCCCCAAAGGATGTATTTAGGCAGCTGCCAGCATGCTGCATGCTGAATGACTGTGGGAGCAGACCCTCTCCAGGGCCAGGCACACTTTTTGGGCCCTTAGGCAAGCAATAATAAACTTCTAAAGTGCTTGAACCACTGTTCCTTTGGGGGTTCACTTACCTTAACCAATCTGCCACTAAATAGTTGGCAAACAGTGGCGGATCATTTCCATTTGTACCACTAGTGCAGCTAATCTTATCTCTTCGAAAGCATCCCTTGCTTTCAAGATAAAAGCTCAAGCTGTGCACTAAACTATAAAAGCATGTAAGATCTCGGCCCTGCCCACCCCACCTCCCACCCATGGCACACTTTCTTCTCTGCCCTCGAGGCTACCAGTCATCCATACGGCAGCTGCATTTTCCGCCTTTAAATGTAGCGTGCCCTTTCCTCACATATCCTGTTCTCAGGGACTGAAATATTTCCTCCTCCCTTGATTTTATACCTTTTACTCATGTTCTGAACTCTTGCCAAATAGAGAAAAAGTTTGAGAATGGTACAGTGGATTGGATCACTTTTCAAGAAGAAGCTTCTAGTGCTTTTCATACTCACGGGTTGGGAAGAGTTTGTTAGGCTGTTTTCTATTAGGTGAGAGTGCACATATATGAAAAGTTGTATAATGCTGACAACTCAAACATACAAGGACATATGTCTAGGTAAATTAAATGTTCTTAAAATATAGATCATCACATAGCCATTACATTTAAGCTTGTGACAGAGCCAGGTACTTATTCAGTGAAAAAGAAGCAAGTTGAAAAGTCGCGATTAAAGAAATATGTGACAGTGACCACTGGTTGAATTTGGAGAGTAGGGCTTTGAGCAAGCTATTTCATTTCCTTTTTGGTCTCATTGTTTTTTGTATGTTTTCTAAGCTTTCTGCAATGTTCCAATATTGTATAAGAAGAAAACATCAACTGTATCTATATATCACATTGTATTACAATTATGTATTTCATAACTCCTCATTCTGTGAGTTTCCTGACAGTTTTGTCTTATTCACCTATGTCTCCCTACTTTAGTTGGCCATTGATATATTTATTTTATTTTAATAAGAGTAGTAAGAAAAAAAAAAAAAGAACAATAGCAACATACCAACATCACAGACATAAACAAAACAAAACAAACACATTAAAAGTGATACAGGGTTTTGTCTCCCTAGTTTAGGAAATATGTGGTCTAACCTGCATTAGATATTCAATAGAAAATTGCCAATGAATAACACAAATGAATTTGTTTTTGTTTAGATCTAAAGGTCTCTCCAAATTCCCATGCACGTGGAAGGTGATCAGTTCTTTTACATCAGTGGACTCATTCACATGTGCATCACATGTGGAATGTGCTGTCAGGAGGCGTGGCGTGGAGGGGTGCGTCTTGTTCCTGCCGGGCTCCTCCTCTTTCTGTGCTTCCTGGCTGCCGCGGGCTGAGCACATTTCCCTCCGCTGTGGACCCCTGCCGTCCTGTGTCTATCTTGAAGCCAGCTGACCATGGACTTTACCCGTGAGCCAGAATAAATCTCTCCTCCTCTAAGTCATGGGTCCTGAGTACTGTGCTTCAGCAGTGAAGAAAGTGACTAGATCAGAACCCTTCTTTAAGTAAGTCCCTTCTCTGCCAGGCCCACAGCATGGTGCCTTCTGCTCAAGCTAGTACATTGCTAGCCACGGGAAGTGTTACTGAAGCCCACAGAATTTCACCCAGCCAGTCAGGACTGTCACCACGCCCATGACCAGGGATACAGCAAGATGGTCAAGAGCAGACAGAGTCCGAGAGCCGCCTCTGGCAGTGGGTAGAAGTGGTTCCTGGGGCTAGTGCTCAGCAGCACTATCAGCGTTTTGACTAAGACTCAGCTCAGGGAGGGTCTCTGCCCAGGACTCACCGTGTATCCAAAGCAGAGTCTTTCCCACTCACCTTGAGCAAATACCTGGTTAAACGGTAGGCAGAAAGACAGAGACACTTAGAGATTCGTTTTTAATTAATCAGGAATAAACAGAGTGGTTTTATGAGTTAAAACAAAAATAAAGTCTGTGCTGTGAAAGCTCAGCAAAAGCTGGATGTAACAACCTGAGATTTCGCTCTAAGGTTCCTGAACTAGGCCCCGGCTGAACGCCAGGGGCGGGGTCTTGGGGGAGACGGCCCGGGCAGCGTGCAAGTGGGAGCCAAAGCTTAGTGAGATCTCCTCGACTCCCACGTCCCGCACGTCCCGCCTGGAGTCTGGTTCTGTCGGTCTTATCCCAGCGCTTGCTTCCTTGCTTTGCCGCCTGTTCTTCCCTATCTTTTTACTCTCACCAGTCCTAGCTGTCAGGGAGAGACACGCACGATCTGTCATAGGACAGTGCTCGACTCCAAGGCGCATGCTCAAAGCGGTCAGGTGTGGTCGCGGTGACCGGTGGGGAGTGATCGTTCTGCGGCAAGGGCCCTACAGACACCACTCAGGCCGCACAGGTCCTGCGTTCTTACCTGGGAGCGCAGGACCTGCAGGGGCTTGGTACTGGAAGGCTTCACTGACGAGGCTGCAAGCACAGGTCAGGGCAGCCTTGCAAAGGAGAAGCCGACGCACAAACGCCAGGACTTAGTTTCAGAGGTCCCGCAGCTGTTAGGACATTTCGGAGAAAATCAAGCCTAGCCATCCTTTGGAAACAACGTGCTCTACACCAAGAGCTTTCTCTTTCTTACTCAGAACAGTTTTCTGGAATTACAGATTACAAGTCAAGGTAGACGCTCAGGTGGTGAGACCGAGATCTAAGCTGAAGCAGGCCTCAGAGCCAGGGTGTCTGGCTGCTCTGCAGACAGGACATAATGGGAATCTGGCTTGGGTGTGGACATGCTACAGGAGGACAACAGCAGTCAGGACGCCGTAGCTGCCCACTGGCACAAGGACCATGCATGTCTTCCTTCCTCTGGGATGAGGCCCCGCCCTCCTATCCCCTACTTTTCTCTGTGTTTCCTGCCCCTGTTGGCCTCTGTAAGGCCTTCTGCAGGGGGTGCCTGTGTCGCAGCTCCGAATGACACTGGCTATCTTCTCTAATGGCTCCTTTCACTTTTGATCTGAGTAAGCTGCAGGCTCCTCTTGGTCTCACCCCGGCTGTCACGCTTCTCCACACTCGAGTTCAGGCCCCAAAGCCTCTCCTCTGAACCACAGCGATGGTTTCTTAAACGGCTCCTCTGTTCCAGGCACCTTTCCCCAGTCCATTCCACCTGCTGCTGGCAGTGTGGCTCCTCAGTGTCAGGCACCTCTTGGCTCCCCCTCAAGTCCTTGGCCGGGCTGTGAAGGTCGGCTGTGCTCCAGTCACGGTGCACCTTACTAAGGTCCAAGCCCTCCCCGCCATTTCTGCGCTCCGGGCTCCACCCGGACCAGTGCTCACACTATTCCTTGCATGGCCTCGAGGGCTGCCAGCACTCACGATCTATTCTGCTACGTTTTGCTTGGAACTCCTATGCCTCCATGTTTGCTTGCTCACCTTCTATCAGTTCAAAAAGCTGAGATTGGCAAACAAACAAAAGCACCCAGGTGACCGTAAGTGAAGCAATGAATATGTTAACCAGCATGACTGGAGCCTTCCGTCCTGTGTACATCACCTGGTACTCCTAAATGATACAATTGAGACTTGTCCTAAAAACATTTAGAAAAAAACCCCAAGACCTCTTTTACCTCACTGTCCCAGCCAGGATTAATTTTTCCTCTAAATTTTTGTATCACTTTGTAATTTCTCAGTGACTGAGGTTTATGCTTTAGTTTTCCTGTTTGTCTTAGTCCCTGGGGGTAGAAGTTGTGTCTAATTTGTCTTTGTGTGCCTCAACCTGGAATGAGGCTCCACTGTTTTTTTTTTTTTTTGCAATGGGAATGGAACTCAGGACCTCGCACTTGCCAGGCAGTCTCTTCGCTGCTGAGCTCTATCCCTGGCCCTTCTCCAGTAGTATTTGAATAATGAACACAGTGGTGAATTTCTCACCTGCAACTTGGCAGTTAATTGTCACATTCACTCCCGGCACTGTTTTGACGGTGCTTCCTATATCCACGGTGACCGCAGGCTTCTCTGTGTTGGTCACAGGCGTTCGTGATGTTTTCACTAGTGGCTTTCCTGAAGATGAGAGAGAACGTGACATGTTACCGGAGGGTGGCTCCAGGCCTGACCTACAGGACAACAAATGATGAACCACTGGCCTCCCTGGCTTTTCCGTTAATCGTGCTTTCCCTCAAAAAATGTAATTTCACAATAGAAATCACCCCTCCGTGCACCAGTCTGCCTTCCACAAAGCTGTCAGGAAAGGAGGAGGATCGCAGTGCCTGAAGATAGACGGCATGGTGTACAGTTTGGGATGACTTATGCAACTTAATCATTCAGCCACGCAATCTGCTCTGTCACTTCTGCCTTGGACTGTACCCATGAGACACAGTAAACCTCTGCCCTCTGAGTTCTGGGTGTCGGTTATTGTGTCTCAATGACAAAGAAAGTGACTAAGACAGGAAAGTGACAAATCACTCTGTAAGTGACATTTCCAAGGGCTTGTTTTTAGACTTCTTACTTTGAGATAATTCAACACACAGGTATAAGAATTAACACACGGCAGTTCTGGGTGCACTCACCCAGTTTCCTGTAGTGGAGACGACTGCAACATAATGGTCTCAAAGTCAGTGTTAATAAGGTTGAACTACAGAACATTTCCATCAATATGCCTTCCCTCATCGTGTCCCCAGTCCTTCCTTAATTCTTTGACAATCATTAATATGGTCAGCACTTCTATAACTCTGTCATTTCAAGAGTGTTACATAAATGGAATCACACAGTGTGTAATCTTTGGGGATCTATTTTTTCATTTAGAATAACTCTCTGGAGATTCTTCCAGGTTTTACATGGTACCATGGTTCCATAGTTTGTCCCTTTTTACTGCTGAGTAATATTCCATGGTATGTCTGCATTGCACTTTGTTTAGCCATTTGCTTGCTGAAGAACAGCTGGGTTGTTTCAGGGTCGTCACATTCAAATAAAGCTGCGATGAACGTGCTGGTTCAAGTTATGGTAGGAACACAAGTCTTCATTTCTCTGGGGTAGGTGCCCAGGAATTCGACTTCTAGGTTTTATGGTGTTTACATGTTTAGTTATTTCTTTAGAAACCACGGTACTGCTTTTCAGAGTGGCTCTACAATTTCACACGTCTAGACAGTGTATGGGTTACTTGGTTTCTGTGCTTCTGGGCCAGCGTTTGGTGCTGTGATTAGTTTTCATTTCATTTATTCTGATAGTGATTTGTCACTTTCCCATCTTAGTCACTTTCTTTGTCATTGAGACACAATAACCGACACCCAGAACTCAGAGGGAGGAGGTTTATTGTGTCTCATGGGTACAGTCCAAGGCAGCAGTGACAGAGCAGATTGCATGGCTGAAGGGCCTGGGAGGGGCAAAGATGTCCTGGTAACAGACAGGAGGGCGGGACCGCGGAGGGAGAGATACCTTCCAGGTCCTGGCCCCGATGACCCACCTCCAACCAGCCCCACCTCCCACTGCACACAGCAGCTGAGCTCACCAGAGGATGAATCCCCCGACACGTAGGGCACCCCATGGCCACACCCCCTAAAAGTCCTGCCCCCCTCACAGGAGAGTTTCGGGGTCTTCTAGATTTAAACCACAACAGTTGACTATCTCGTTAAGTGCTTATTTGCCATATGTGTATCCTCTTTGATTAAATGTCTATTTGTGTAACTTGAGCGTTTTCTAGTTAGATTTTCTTTGCTGAATTTTGAAGTTTCTATATAGATATCCGTCCTTTGTCAGATAGGTGGCTTAGGAATGCTCTCTCAGTCCTCGGCTTTCCCTCTTCCTTGACATGGTCTTTCATGGATTTAAGGTTTTAACTTTGGTAAAAGCCAACGTGTCAGTGTTTCCTTGTGTAGATTATGCTTTTGGTAACAAATCTAAGAACTGCTTATCTAATTCTGCATTCTAAAGGTTTTGCATTTAAGTCTGTGATACGTTTTGAGTTAGTTTTGGTATAAGGCGTGAGATGTAGGTGAAAGTTCACTTGATTGTTGTTACGGACATCCCATTGTTCCGACACCATGTATTTAGCAGGCTGTTGTTCCTGTATTGGATTGCTTTTGCACCTGTGTCACCATCAGTTGGGCATTTTTGCGTAGGTTTATTTCTGGGCTCTCTACGTATCTGTGTGTCCCTGCCCCCAGTAATACCACCTTATCTTAATTATCATAACAACGATTAATTTTAAAATCAGAGAGGCTGATTCCTCCAACTGCATTCTTCTTTGTCAGACTAATTATCTTGCCTTTTAATGTACATTTTAGAATAATCTTGTGTATGTCAATAAAATCTTGCTAGGATTTTGATAGGAATGACATTAACTATATCAGTGAGGAGGAAACGGACATGTTTGTTGAATATTTCAGCCCATGGAACACTGCATGTCTACCTATTTTAATTTAGATCTTTAATTTTTTTTATCAGTGTTTTGCAGTCTCCAGGTTATGAGCCTCATTATATTTTGTTACACTTATACCTAAATATTTCTTGTGAAAGGTAGTAAATGACATTGTATTATTAATTTCATTGTTCAGTGCTAGTGTGTAGGATTATAGAAAGTTGTTTTACTTTTAATAGTTTGTCACTTTGTTAAATTAGTTCTAGGACTTTTTTCTTTTGTAGATTCATTTCATCTGCAAATGCAAATACAGATGTTTTATTTCTTTTTTTTCTCACCTCTATGCTTGTTAATTTCTTCTCCTACAACACTATACTGGATAGATCTTCTACACCACTTGGAATAAAGGTAGTAAAAGTATAGTTTTGAATGGTGAATAATTACAGGTTGCAAATGCCATGTTTTTCTATGTTACGAGACTCTGAACCTTATTTAAACCTTCTGTTTTCGCTGGCTTTTTCTGAAACCACTCAGGCATGGCAGCAGGGAGGTGCTACCTTGTTATCACCCAGTGGAGGCAGAAGTCGTGGTTCCCCCTGTGGCTTCCTTTGTTTCCCAAGTAGAGGGCCTTTCATTATTGCTGGCCAGGGCTGAGAACTCCGGCTCCCACTGCCTTCACTGACACCCCCACAGGAGGAGCCTGCCTGCTGCTGGAAGGTAGTAAAAGCTGTGACTCTCCAGTGGCTTTTCCTAACACCAGGGGGCAGGAGGAGGAGGGCAGAGAGGGTGCCGCTGGTGTCCATGTTATGTCCTGCTAGGGATGAACGTCCTCGCCTTCTCTGATACCATCTCCATGGGGAGGTGGGGGCGTTGGGAGCTCCTCCCTTTGGTCTTTGGGGGGAAAGTCTGGGCTCCTACTCAGCTTTTGCTGGTGTGGTGGCGGCTCAGTGTTGCCTGTGATGTTTGGCCAGGAAGAGCAGCATTTTCTAAATAACCTGCATCTTGCTATGCTGCCCCTGTTCTGGTCCTTTTGCTAATGAGAGCAGGGACTTTAATCTAGGCTATTTTTTTTTTAAAGTAGTCATTGGCATTTTCTGGTCACTGGCTTCTTCAACTTCAATTTGGGGATTTATAAAGCAAAAAGAAAATCCAACAGATTCACAGTTTTACAAACTGTATGAGCTGTTGCTCAGTTCCCAAGATCTCTAGCCAGTCTGTTTTCTCCTCTCCACTTTTCAGTCTCATGTGTGCGCTGTACATAAGGTTGTTCATGCCCTTAGCAGGAAGAACAGGGAGAAGAGTGCGCCATCCACTCCGTCTTCCTAGAAGTAGGAGTTCTGTGTATGTTACGTTTTAGGCGGCATTTATCAGCTGGGAAAAATACAACATTTCATAAATATGATCATAAAATACAACGAGAAGATTCATTTATTGAGCACCTTGGGGAAACAGGGTCCACGTGAAGTCATTTTCATATGCCTAAAGCCTAATCTTTTGTAAATCAAATGGGTTTAATTTTGTTTTAACCATTGTGTAGCTGGGCTCTTCTGAAACGGCACCTACTCCCCTCTGCCTTCATTAACTGTGAAGGAAACCTCATTCCAGAAAAATTCCTTGGAGTCTTACACCTGCTTTTGATGTGTTTTGTTTTCTCCCGTATCTATTCAGTTTTTAATTATTCATAGCCTCAGAGCTAAGCTGTTCCTCTTTTTCTTCCTCTGCGGTGTTAGTTCTCCCTAGGCACAGGTACTTAAGCTCACCGGAATTATGTTTAGGAGTGGAAACTTGACTGAGTGCCGTGAATATGCGGATAGGCCTTTCGTGTCTATTCCTTCCCCTTCTTTCACCTGTATGTCATTCATTTAGCATTGTGTATGACCTGATATGAAGAAGAAATATTCATACTGAGCTGTTTGCATAACAGGTGCCAGGTGACCGCAGGAGGAGTGCCTGGAGTATCACTGAACCAACAGTGGCATGCTTACTTTACTTTCTTACCGTGACGAAGCTACTCAGCTCTCATTCCTGATCTACCGTGAATCTAAGCAGCACCTCTGCTCTCACCTCGTGCCATCCTCAGCGCTAGCCGCACAGCTGCACAGCCTACCCATCTCCTTGCCTCTACTCTTGCCTCACTGCAGGCTCGTAAGACAACCAGGGTGATTTTCCTAAAACACGCATTAGATCATGCAGATTTCCTGCTTCACTTTTCTACCGCTTTTCAGGGCAACCTGAGCAAAACTTCTGCCTTGTTTTCATGACTGACCTTCCCCTGCACACAGAGGCCAGCACTTCATTCGCCCGCTCACCGAGACGACGCTTCCCATCAAGCACTGTGACCCAGCGCACTGTCCTCCTTCCTTCCTGCAAGCAGCCGCATTGGTGCCCTGTCCCTTCCTGACGTCTTTTGTCTGCAGAGGTCCGCGTGGTTATTGTCCTCTGGCCATTCATGTCTCTGTGCAAACAGTGTCCCCTTGTGAAGCCTTCTCATCTGCTGCATCTACAGCACGCCGCTCTCCGCTGCGCGGCCAGGCACGATGCGTCTCACCGACGGTTTTGTTCACAGGGCTGCCTGAGCAGAACTTGTTATTTATTTGCTTGTTCTCTGTGCTCTCTTCCCTACGTACTTCCCAGAGATTCCCCACGAGCGCCAGGACCGCATCTCTCCTGCTCTTTTCACTCTTGCCACCTCGTCCTAGAACACGGA